TGTCCCTCCACCCTCCCAAGCATGATGTCCCTCTCCAAGGATCTGTCCCTCCTTGCAACATGCCCAAAGTATGTCAGACAAAGCCCCAGAATCCTTGCCTCCAAGGAGTAGCGCAGTTTAACCCTCTCCAGGCTGAATCTGTTTGTTTTCTTGGCAGTCCATGGTACATTCAATACTCTTCTCCAGCACCACAGCTCAAAGGCATTAATTCTCCTCTGTCCTCTGTAGTCATTGTCCAACTCTCGCATAACAAGTGATTGCAAAACCATGGCCTGTCTCAGTCACACCTTAGTCTCCAGAGAGACACTGTTTCTCTAGAGTACTTTAGAGGGGTCCCTAACAGCAGACTTTCCAATCGCAATACGTTTTTTTATTTCCTGGTTGCTGGTGCCAAGAGTGTTGACTGTGGAGCCAAGCAAACTGAAGCTGTGAACAATCTCAATCTCTTCGCCATCAATTCTGATGCTGCCAGTTGGTCCAATGGTGAGAATCTTAGTCTTCTTGACATTGAGCCTCAGTCCATACTGAAGGTTGCAGTCCTTGACCCTCTGCAGCAAGTGCATGAGGTCCTCCTCAGTTTCAGCAAGCAGGGTTGTATCATCTGCATTACACAGATTGTTAATAGATCTTCCACCAATCCTGATGCCACACTTCTCCTCATAGAGCCCAGCCTTCTGGATAATCTGCTCTGCATACAGGTTGAAAAGGTATGGAGACAGGATGCATCCCTGGCGTACACCCTTCCCAATTTTGAACCATGCAGTATTACCCTGCTCTGTTCTGACAACTACCTCTTGGTCCAAGTATAGGTTTCACATTAGAACAATTAAATGTTCTGGGATTCCAATTCTTCTCACAGTCAGCCACAGTTTGTTATGATCCACACAGTCAAACGCCTTTGCATAATCAATGAAACACAGATAGACATTCTTCTCATATTCCCTGCTTTCAGCTAAGATCTATCTAACATCAGCTACAATATCCCTAGTACCACGAGCCCTTCTAAACCCAGCCTGGACTTCTGGCAATTCTCTGCTGTAGAGGGATAAATTTTCCCAACAAAAATTCAGAGCTCTCATCCAAGGAGTTACTTTTGTGTCCCGTCTGTCAGGAAGCATAGAATGGCTGCATACAGTAATTTGGAAGAGCCAATAATGATCATAAACAAAAATTTCCTTATGGTGGTCTTAGGTTAGTACAACTAGAAAAGCTGATTGAGTGGGAAGACATAGCCAGCAAATGCACCTAGTTGCAATCCTAGTTGCACAGAAGTAGTATTTAGAGAGCTTTTAAAACTTAGAAAAACTCAATGTCCTAATCAGGTTTGTTGGCTCCAATCTATGTAGGTTGATCCCACACATAGGGTTTAAAAACAAAACACAACACACAATAAATGAAACCAAATCCTCCAAAGTCTATCGAATGCTGAAAGCCACACTTCTATTTCCCAAGTCTCCTGGTTAACAAATCTTTGCTCACCAGAAAGCTTCATACCCATTAAGTCTCCGAAGTAACCAGGTCTTTCCTTATTAGGGGCCCAACTATCATGCTACTGTCATTGAGACAGACCGATAGGTGTGTCCAAGTGGCACACTAGAATGATTCTCCTGTCTCTTGAGATGCTGTATTTTTTGCCATTTATTTCTGCAGCCTTAACAATTCCTCTTACCTGCTTTTCAGAGTGTGGCCCCAGAAATAGAGCTGTGGCAGGAAACTGCCTGGAAGGGAGCTTGTTAGAAATGCAGATGCTGGGCCCCCCACCAAAGGCCTACTGAACCAGAATGTGTGTTTCCCACATTCTGAATTAAAAGCACTCCAAGTAATCTATGTGAACATTACAGTTTGAAAAACTGTAGAACTTTGACTAGCACACCTAGCACTTAAAAATTCAGGCTATTTCTCACTATTCTCCTTTTGTCTTTTCATAATTGTTTTCTTTGGAATCCCTCTGAAACAGAATCTCATCATAACAGAAATGGACTGGATTATAGAGGTGAATCAGTTCAATCATTCAGCCAGCCAATCAACAAATGGATCATTCCAAAGTTAAATCTACCTACTTGATGAATAGGGAGGCCCCAAACGTCCACAAGTTTGATTATTTTAGCTCGTGTACTCTGGAATTTCATCCTTTATATTTCTTTCAGGTAATTAATAGCTCTGTGAATTACCACTGAACATTCTCAAACATTGAAAATACTTGCAAATGTTAAATACTACCAAAAATACACTCAGGTCCCCAATTCATGTTCATTTTGTGAGGAATTATATTTCTTATGATTAAACATAGGCTTGACCTGCGAACATCCAATCCTCAAGTGCATAATAGAGTTATTCAGTTATATATAGCTCTGCAATTTCTCTAATGAGCTCACTAAAATGTTAACAACCCCCAAGAGGTTTTTATTCCCGACATGCGTTCATGAGTGGCTCACCTTGAACTTGCCCTTGGCTTTGACAGCAAGGCCACTGCTGAGAAGTCTGTATGATCCCCAGTATTACATTGCAACTTTCTATTTCAAATAGATTGAAACCTAACCAATGAGCTCTTAGTATCTTTCTATTTTTTTTTTTTTTTTTGAGGACTGCTTTGGTGATAATCCACAAAGATCACACTCATTTTCAGATTTGGGTCTCCTTAGGACAGCGGTTCTCAAGATATACTTGGGAGACTTATTTGAACACACATTCTTGATCCTACCATCAGTTTCTGATTCTGCAGGTCTAGGCTGTCATAGTTTGGTGGTAGGGAATCGTGTTGTCCACCGAAACGTTGTTGTTGTTGTTATGTGCTGTCGAGTCGCTTGTGACTCAGCAACCCTATTTACAACAGCCCTAAAATCTGCTCTGTCCTGTGGCAATCACACAGCCTCCGATACACCCATCCTGCTTACCCCAGTCACTGAATCAATCCATCTCAGAGAGGGCCTTCCCCTCCTGCATTGTCCCTCCACCCTACCAAGCATGATGTCCCTCTCCAAGGACCGGTCCTTCCTTACAAAATGTCCAAAGTATGCTAGACGGAGCCTCAGAATCCTTGCCTCCAAGAAGCCGCCTAGCTTAACCCTTTCCAGGATGAAACTGTTTTCCCAACAGTCTATAGTATCCTCAATATTCTTTCCAGCATCAAAGCTCAAAGGCATCCATTCTCCTTCTATCCTCCTTAGTCATTATCCAACTCTCTGATGCATAACAAGTGATAGCAAAGTCCATGGCCTGTATCAGATGCACCTTAGTCTCCAGAGAGACACCATTGCTCTTCAGTACTTTGGAGAGGTCCCTAACAGCACACTTTCCCATGGCAATACATCTTTTCATTTCATGGCTACTGGTGCCAAGAGTGTTGACTGTGGAGCCAAGCAAACTAAAGCTGTAAACAATCTCAATCTCTTCACCATCCATCCTGATGCTGCCAATTGGCCCAGTGGTGAGAATCTTTGTCTTCTTGACATTGAGCCTCAATCCGTATTGGAGGCTGCAGTCCTTGACCCTCTGCAGCAAGTACTTCAGGTCCTCCTCACTTTCAGCAAGCAGGGTTGTGCCATCTGCATATCACAGATTGTTGATAGATCTTCCACCAATCTGACCCCACATTTCTCCTCATAGAGCCCAGCCTCCCGGATAATCTGTTCTGTGTACAGGTTGAAAAGGTATGGAGACAGGACACATCCCTGGCATATGCCCTTCCTAATTTTGAACCATGCAGTGTTTCCTTGCTCTGTTCTAATGATTGCCTCTTAGTCCAAGTATAGGTTTCTCATTAGCACGATCAAGTGTTCTGGGATTCCCATTCTTCTCAGAGTCAGCCACAGTTTGTTATGATCCACACAGTCAAACGCCTTTGCATAGTCAATGAAACACAGATATACATTCCTCTGGTATTCCCTGCTTTCAGCTAAGATCCATCTAACATCAGCTACAATATCCCTAGTACCACGACCCCTTCTAAACCCAGCCTGGACTTCTGGCAGTTCTCTGCTGATGTGCTGTTCCAGTCGTTTTTGGATAATCTTCAATAGAGTCTTGCTTGCATGTGAAATCATGAGATTATTCTATAGTTTCCGCACTCTGTTGGGTCACTCTTCTTTGGAATTGAAACAAATATAGATCTCTTCCAGTCAGGTGGCCAAGTGGTTGTTCCCCAGATTTCTTGGCACAGTTCAAATCCACTAGCTGCTCTGTGGGAGAAAGATGAGCAGTCTTCTGCTGTGCTATTTACTGCCTCTGAAAACCTGCTGGAGGATCAGTTAGAAGCTCGTTCCGACTTCATGATATTCAACAACAACAAGGTAGGGTCCAAGTGTCTGTATTTCTAATAAGCTCCAGGTGATATTGACGTTGCTGCATGAGGATCACTTTTGAGAACCATCATTCAGCCCTCTAGCTGACCTATGTGAATCAAGTATAGAAGTTTCAGACCTTTTGATAAAAATTACTTTTCTTTTTCAGAGGCATTATTTTATCTACCTGCTTCCTGAACCACCAAAGTTTTGGACTTGAACATCCCATACTCTGGCAGAAATAACAACATTCCTGTGTTTGTGAATCACCAGTTCACACACTCTGCCCCTGCACTGAACCCAATCCTTCACATGCCTCTTTTGATTAACTTTCATTTTTTCTTGCCTTATTTCTGACATTCTTTCTCTAATTAGCACCAACCTTTATTCACCATTATAGTCCACTGCACCTGAGAAACTGCAACCTTACGTTGCAAACTTGCTTGCCACATTGACCTACAGACCTTCCTCCTAGAAACGTTCATTTCTCCCTTCCTTTGCTTAGGTAATTCTCAGCTGTAATTATTCACCCAATTATCCAAATCCTATTTACTTTGACTTCCCTTCATTTGACCAGAAAATTATTTATTCTCCAGATTTTACCAACATTTAAGCTTAGCACCAGATTATATCCTGGTTCCCTGGTCTGTTAACTACATTGGTTCCAGGTATGGCCAGATAGTAACTGTCAGATACAGCCAAGATGAGTGCAGGGCTTACCGTGAACGAGCCACTGCATCTGAAATCCTTTCTCATGGTGACCAACCCCATCTGTGTGGAACAGCACATTCAGTCTGGAGCTGGTAGTACTTCCTGAAGGTGGAATATCTCTTCCACAGTAGCGTCCTATCCTTTGTGATCCATCATAGAGCTGGTGGTGGGGGGAGAGAAATAATAATTATATTCCAATGCAAAAAAAAAAAAAAGATTCACACAATTTGTCAGAGGCAAAAACCAAAGTCTATCCATATGGCAAATGCTGGCTGTTCATTGGTTCAAAAATTAGTAGTAAATGCTGCTGATACAGGTTGAGTACAGGAAGCTTAATATTAATTATAATTGCATAGCATTTTAGAGATGGGTTTTATACCCATGACAAATAGATTGAGATACACAGCTATCAGTTGCCCTATTTTATGTCAACCTTAGCAAATCCCCTCCAAAATATGTAAGATAGACACAAAATATGGAAATGGGAGCCAAAGTGGCCCCTTTCACACATCAGTGTGTCTTGCATGGGCTCTCACATCTGTGAGCCTCTCTTCGCCTGATGGGAAAAATGTCTACCTTGCTGGATGTAGAAGGCATCAGGCTGTACAGACAACTCAGCCAAAATGCCTGACAGAGTATGAGATGCTCAGTGGGTAGTAACTATTATAATTATATAGGTAATTTTCTACAGATGTCTCCTAATGGCCTAGAGGGTAGAGAGTTGCATTGTTAACCCAAAGATGGTGCCTCTGTAGTGGTTCACATCCACCAGCAGCACCATGGGAGCAAGAGGGGCAATCTCCACCTGGACCTGTTACAGCCTTTCAAAACCCATTTGAGGGACAGCTGTGAGTCTGTTACAACTTAATGGCAATGAGTTGTTGCTGAATTGCTACAAACAGTTTAGACAGCTACAAAAAGGAAAATACACGCAGGACCAATGACTTTGTAAATGATTACCTAACTTGGGAGGGACTGGAGAGTATTATGCTGAGTGAACTAATTCAGTCCAACAAGGACAAATATTGTATAAAACCATTACGGTAGAATGAGCATAATGATTCAAGAGGGGTGGGAGAGGTTGGAAGCAGAGGGATGAGGATGTGCAGGGAAAGAGGGATTAATCATGGGGCTGTACAATTTGATTGGGGGGGTGTGAGTGAAATAGAATTTATTCTTAAAAACAATGTATTCGAATTTTTTAAATAAACTAGTAGGAAATTTTTTTAAAAAAGAAAGGAAAATACAAAGGCTAACTTCACTGAATATAACCACAGTAACCATTTGTTAATACAGGAGCCCTTTCCTGCTACTATTCTTCTCATTTGTATATCTGTATACACACCCACTGATATGTCCTCATGGCAAGGAGTTGTGCTTTCAGTGTAAAGGCACGCGGTTTGGATCTACCAGCTGATTCATGTAAGGAAGATGAGAAATCTCCTTCTGTGTGATTTACTGCATCTGGAAAGGCGCTGGAGGTCAGCTAGGAGCTGATTCCAACTGGACAGCACACAAACACAACCATTAGAGCTACTGCTGTGGAATCGAAGCTGATGTATGACAACCACAAGAAGAGAGTGAACTGCCCTGTCGGGTTTCCAAGGCTGAAAGCTTTTAGGAGGGCAGATTGACTCCTCCTCTTCTCATGGTGCAGCTGGCAGGTTCAAACTCCCAACCTTCCTGTTCACTGCCTGATGCTTAATCCTTTGTTCCAGCAGGTCCCTTATATGTATGCATACAAGTATATTACATATTTATAGAGAGACATAAGTAAAAGTTATGCATGTGCAAGTATCATTCTGTGTGTGTATAAATAGACATGATACTCAAGTTTGTCACCTGTCATCACTAAGCATGTCAATAAATAGTGTCTGTATAGTATATTTTTAAGTGGTGGTATAAATAGTATTCTTACACTGAATTGATATTAACAGCTCTACTGTTGCTCATCTAAGGTATTTTCAAATTTTGTCTATGTAAGCAACGGCGATGTTTTTTAAAAAAAAATTTTACTTCCAAAAGATTCCTAGAACAAGAATGAATCAAATGATACCTTTTTTAATGCCTCTTTCTATTCATGATTAAATTTTTTACCAAAATGTTAATACCTTTTTAACCAGCAGTTTAGAGAAATGTCTCTTTTAGTGGCTTTCTGGTAATGTTTATTGCTATTGCTTTTAAAGAGGGAGTTTATTTGATAGTTAGAGTCTTCCCCCCACCGCCACCATTGTCTTAGCATGTATTATATTGGTTACTTTGCAATTGAAGGTTTTTAAAAATGTGTTTGTTGTATATTAATGGAAATTTTTTGGATGAGTTCTGTACCATTTTCCACTGGCGTATTTATATCATGCTGCGAACACTTCATCTGACTCATTTAATAATTTAATCAGATACAACTCCTCAGGCTAAATAAAATCACATTCAAAAAAAATAAACCCCTCCACCATATCTGTTCACTTGGGAAAGAAATGACAATCCACAAAGATGGGCTTTCTCGTGTCTAGAGCTATTAGATTTTTCTCCTTATCCCCCCAATGCCCACATTAAATATTTTGCTTCAGTTACCCTGGAATGAGTTATTCATATCAATAAAATGAAAATGTCTACTAAAATAGACTTGTTTCTTCAAATATTCTCTCAGAGAACGCATATATGTAAAAGTATCTGTGTGCTTATATTTATCAGTGGATAAATGTACAATATTGTTTAAAAATATTGCAATCTGACTAAATAATTGTGATGTATTGAAACATTATGCTACAAAATATACCTGGCTGTTATCCAAAAGGTCAGAACCCACCAGCGGCCCCTCTGGAGAAAGATGAGGCAGTGGCTTCCATAGGAGTTACAGCCTCCGAAACCCTACTCGAGGGCCATTCTGTCCTGTCCTGAAGTTGCCTGGAGTCAATTGACTCGATGGTTTGTTGTTGTTTGGTGCTATCAAGTACATTTCAACTCATAGCGACCCGATAAATAACAGATTTGAACCTTGCACCATCTTCATGATCTCTGATATACCTGAGCCCGTTACAGTCACCACGCTAATCCATCTCATTAAGGGTCGTTAGTGTGTTTGATTTGGGTTTTGTCAAACTCTGTGAGCAAGTTTTACAAATATAGTCACTTCCTTGATTCTTATAGACAGCATGACTTAATTTTCCTTTTCAACTCCTTAGCTCTTTATTTGCATTTCTTTTGTGCAGATGATCACACACGTATATTACATTTAAAAAAAATATGTGTGAATGCCTGTATCCCTAAGTGGTCCTGTGGTCCCTTAAAACAGACCACCTCTTACATCCCCAGTACTGTTTCATATTGCGCTTTATGTAGGGTAGGCTCCTACTACATCTTCAGTGACTGAATACACCTATATTTATTTTAGTAGGAATTAATCTACACAAGAAAACATGAGAAATATTAATGCCTTTGAAGTGTTGGCAAAGAACATCGAGTATCCCATAGACTACCAGAAGAACAAATCTATCTCTGAAAATATAGAGGCATACTGTTCCCTAAGAGGCAAGGCTAGCAAAACTTAAACTCATGCACGAAGTGCATGTTATCAGGAGGGATTCATCTCCAGAAAAGCATATCATGTTTGGTAAAGGAGAAGTTCAGTGAAAACTAGGCAAACCCTCACTGAAATATCTGCAACACAGCAATGATTATGAGGATGGTGCAGAAGCTGGCAGTGTTTGGTTCTGTTACATGGGTCCCTGTGAGTCGGGGCTGACTCAGCAGCCCTCAACAACAGCATAAAAATTAGAGAGTGTTGGAGGTTGAGTTGTGCTTTCCCCAAAGACCTAACTTTCAATACTTGTTAATGTGACTTATTTGGATAAAAGGTCTTCGAAGGCCTCGTTAATATATTGTTGTTGTCAAGTGCCAATGAGTCCACGATCAGTCATAGTGGCCCTGGGGACAACAGATCTGAACCCTGTCCAAGCCTGTGTCATCCTTATTATCTCTGATATACTTGATCCCATTGCTGCTGTTGTGTTAATTCTTCTCTTTGAGGGTCTTTTCTCTTTCATCCACCTTTCAAACATGATGTCATTTCCCAAGGAATATCCTCTCCTAACAACATGTCCAAAATATGTGAGATGAAGAGTCACCATCTTCGCCTCCAAAGAAAACTGTGGCTCCTAAAGTTCTCTAAAGTGGCTGCTCCTCTGACAGACACCCTTGTACAGTTTGAGGGAAAAATCAGCAGAGATTTAAAAGAAGTTTAGAAAACTATTATTTCATTTTCCTTTTAATAACAAATCTAAGCATTTTAAGCAAATGAATAATGACGCTATTTCTTTTTCAAGTGTATCCCTTTAGCATCCTTTTTCCTAACACTGTTGTTTTGGAAAAAAAAATTCATTTTTATATGAGGTGGATTGAGTCAGCGACTGGAGTGGTGGGGGTGGGTGTGTCAGAGACAGTGAGGCTGGCACAGGACAAAGCAGGGTTTAGGGTTGTCGTACATAGGGTCACTATGAGTCACAGGTGACTCGATGGCACATAACAACAACATGTATCTATCTATCTCGACTATATATATACATACACACAAATACATATATAACAAAAACAACACATATAAAAATGACTATATATAACATATACATAACAATATATATATATAACAACATATATATATAAACTACTCTATATATGTTATTGTTGTTATGTGCCATCAAGTCACCTGCGACTCATAGCAACTCTGTGTACAACAGCCCTAAACTCTGCTCTATCCTGTGCCAATCTTATCATCTCTGACACACCTACCCCTTTACCCCAGTCTCTGAATCAATCCATTTCATCCAGGGTTTACTTTTATTGCGCTGTCTCTCCACCCTCCCAAGCATAACATCCCTCTCCAAGGACTGGTTCCTCCTTGCAAAATGTCCAAAATGTGTCAGACAATGCTTCAGAATCGTTGCCTCCAAGGAGCAGCCTAGTTTAGCCCTCTTCAAGACTAACCTGTTTTTTCTCTTAGCAATTCATAGTATATTCAATACTCTTCTTCAACACCAGAGCTTAAAGGCATCAATTCTCCTTCTATCATCCCTAAACATTGTCCAGCTTTCCGACACATAGCAAGTAATTGTAAAGATCATGGCCTGGATCAGGCACACCTTAATCTTCAGACTGGCATCATTG